TGATTAACGGGGGAAATTTGGCAACGTCTGAATGTTCTTACGGCGTATTTCCTCAGCGCGGCTGCACACGCTCCATCCTGATCGTCCTCGTAAACGGCGCCGAGGGAGGCAATAAAAAATCCGAAGCTCAATGCAAAACTGGAACAGTCGAGATTTGAGGGCTTCACGGCATAAAGGGACCCGAGCGGGTGAAAGGCTTCGGCTGAAAGCTGAAACAAGCTCATTGTTCGGAAAAAAGGAGTAAAAAGTGAGGACGTTGCCTCCAGTGGCGCAGATCCTTGAATGGCGAGTGTAAACAGGGACAAAACGCTCGACACGATGCAAACGTGCATGCGGTGTGCAGATTTAAGTACTCGCGGCGGCGTTGCCTGATCGTACATAATTCCACTACAAATATCATGTTGAATCGTTCGGATTGGCAACTAATTCCGCGGGGAGCGCCCCACTCGACGTCCTATTGACTCTACGCATACAGCGGACATCTGTCCCGCCTCATCAGGAGCCACACGCATCATTTCATCGCCTCTGACATAAGGGCGTAACCACACATCGAGATGAGCCCGGAAAAGCGTTGAATTATATGGACGACAGGGTTCATTTCTGAAAGGGGTTACGCCCTTATGTGAGTAGAGCGACGATTTATCCCTCCTGCATATCTCCGGGGCTTGGACCAGGTCCCTCCCGCCACCCCGCCCGGAGCCATTCATTGCATTGTTTTTGTATCTGATTCTGATACCGATGTGATAACCGCACACAACGGGGCTCCCGCCGAAACCCCGGGTTCGGGGGAAAATATTTTGTCAGGCTCCGTCCTCTCACCCCCAAAACATTGCGTCGGTTTGGAATGATAATGTTGCGTCATCACAAGTTGAAATTTCGATGTTCAAACGCTGAGCAGGGCGCAAAATGTGTTCGCTCCCTGGCAGCTTTGAGGCTCCCGAGTCTCTTTTTGAGAATCTTCCAAAATCTAAATAGATCGGGCTCATCTAGGCACCATTACTTGTTGATAGCCGCAAAAGTCATGCACATCGGCCCGGTAGAATGCTAGAGCGGACTGTGACAAAAAATGAAAATTTAGGCGGATAGAGAGTTCATAGTATGATTTATGGACCGCGGGAACCAAACCTTGTCAGCTATTAATCGCACAGGAAAAAAAAACACATTGGATCCAGAGTCCAGACTCTTAAAAACATCGACAAGAAAAAATACTTTTGATTCAATCGGATTTTTTCTTAAATCAAGAACCAAGCCTCTTAATTTGAGCAGATTTCCTTTTGATTTAAGCAAAAATCTGATTGAATCAAGATATTTTTTCTTGTCAATGTTTTCAAGATTCTGGACTCTAGATCCAATGTGTGTGTTTTTTTCCAGTGCGGGTAATATAATTATTTACATGAAAACGGCTGTGCGGATTTTTGTGCAAATATCAGTGAGTTTTCTGCATTGGACGAAGCAAATTCCCTGAAATTTACAAAGGAATCCCCACAAACGTTCTCTTGTAAAACATTAAATTGCGCGGTTTTTGGCAGTAGCAGATGTGGCTCGGTTCCTTTCTGCTAAACTCGGTCCACATGTAGTAATGATAGACAGGGAAAGAACGGTTTGGTGCTTATGTACAGATAGGTAAGTCAATGGCATTACCTAGATTTCGAGTAGGAACCAACCCTTCCCGGATGAGGGTCTACAATCCTGCGATGCACAAATGACGCTGCATATTTATTAACCTCCAGGAGTTAAAATTGTACCGTGAGAGATCGAAGACGAATTTCAGCGGATGCAATGGAGAGCACATAAGTTGAAACTGCTCACTGGACCGGTTGCAATTTTACGAGGACGAAATGTTTTGAATGAACCCGAAAACGGAAAGAATAACTCCACCGACGCTCGTTATGAATGATGGAACACGCAGTCCGAGTATTCGGCAGTTCTTTGATCTTGCATAATCCTGAATGGCGAGGCTACGAAGAGGTCCACGTTGGTATTGTTCTTACGTTTCGCGTACTCATGAATAAAGATCCTTGCGGTTATCCATTTCGGCGGAGGCTCAAAGGTATCACACGGGGAGCAGCTCGCGGTGAGGTTGAGGCTGGAAGTCGTAAATAAGGAACATTTTAGTGACGGCGTCTTCGAAAATTAGTCACAAAACATAAAACCGGTGGAAAGAGCCGAAAAAAGCGGGGCCGGCTGCGAGTGCCGACCGCGCACGTCATAAATGCAGGCCCTGCACATATCTGTCCGGCACAAATATTATCCTTTATTTATGATTCATTCGGGAAAAGAACAAATATAAAAGCGATTTTCTTTACCTAGTTTAATCTTTCGTAATGGTGTGCCCACGCTACCCTTTACCCCCCTCCCCGCCGCGTCCCCCTTGTCTGTCGGCCCCCAGGGGCCAGTCCCGGTCGGGGTTTTTTCTCCCTCTCTTTTTTAACACAGTCTCTCCTTTCCGATTTTATGTTGATTTTTTTATCGGCTCCTTACACAGGATCCGGAGGAGCAGCGAAACCCCTCTGAAGCACTTTAATGACCGTGCAACCCAATAAATGTCCCACTCAATTCTAATGATGAATCAAGCAATTTGAATTTCCTTTACACATGCACCTCTTCACCGATGAAGTGCTCGGTGAAGGTGTCTCCGACTTGGTTCCCACTCTAGAATACATATTTTTGACGTGGCTGAAAGAGGATACGAAATATAGGTGCTAGGGGATTGCTTCACCCGTTTTTTTCTCAATTTACATCATTCTTTGCCCTCCATGTATTGTATAATTGTAATGAAAAAGTGGTTTCCCCCCTTTTCTCGACTAAAGTGTCACGTAGTGCTCTCAACCCTTGTCCAATAGCCCATTCTATCTAGTAAAGCTGTTCACAGTCCATGTTTAGAGGTAGGAATCTTTTATCGATTTTCTCGACAATATTTATTTTTTTTTTAAACCGAAAAAATCGACTAAGTCACATCGATTTTACCGGTTTCGATTATTCGCGTGAATTAATTTTTCCCTCAAAATAAAATATTTTTACGTTTGCTACCCTAATGTACTATATCGGTGGCACGTGAGCCAATTTTTGGACCAAAATCCAGCGAACTTTCCGGAAATTTTCATTCAATTTTTTTCAAAGATTGCGAATGTTGGGTCTTTTTCATTTTTCAACTCTCTTAATTAGATTTTCTGGAAAATCGATTTTATGTCACGATTTAAATCGATGAAATAGAATTCTCGAAGACAATCGAATCGATTCGATTAATCGATTTTTTCCAAATAATCCCCAACACTATTGTTTCGCTCAAATCGAAGTAGTGGAGTTTCTTCGGAAGGTTCTTGGAAAATCGATTGTTATGCCTCAATTTAAACCGATGTAATATCTCGAAGAAAATCCAATCAATTCGATTAATCGACTTTTCCCATAAAATCCCGAACATTACTATTTCGCTCAAACCAAAGCAGTGGAGTTTTTTCGGAAGGGCACGAGAATCCCGCCGCATGGCGCTTCTAATCGTGTGGGCGGGGGAGTCTGAACGGGGGTGGGGGAGGGCGCGGGGGTGGGAAGGGACCGGAGGGCGCGACGACGCGCGACAGCGGGAGAAATCGGCGCTGGGAGCGATTGCGCAAAGCGGGCCGCCCGCCGAACCAAGGACAGACACGTATCTGGACGTCGCCGTTGAAAGGTCGCCGGTATCGATTCGAATTTGAGACGTACCTGGCCAACTGCAGCCCGCGGGGGCGCGCCGCCGGGGCGGGCGAGGCGGAGGGGGTGGCGCTTCATACACAAACAGATATAACAGGCTTCGATACACCTACGGCCTCAGCCACCGTTGATACTGGTGGCAGGCTCGCTTGTCATTGATCCATATTCGGCGTTATTTGTCTAAGTGTCTCCTCCAGCGTTTTCGAGCTATCACTCACCGCCGAGCAGTGTGCGTGCCCTTCAGAGGCGATATAGTCCGAGTTCATGAGGAATCAACCTACATATTCGAAAACTTTGAGTATAGAATGTTTTTGAGTTTCACCAGCTGTATATTTTCTCCTGCCAAAAATCGAACAAAACAAAAAAACGAAACAAAAACAATTATGAAAAGAAGGGTTAAGTTTATTTTTTACACTGAGCTTTATATAGGAATAAAACTTCAAATCTCTTGTTCTCAGTTTCAACTTAATGTGGGTTGGTTCCTTTCTGATGAACTCGGTCCATTTGTTTTAGGGACGCCGCACTAAAAATCTAGCGCATGTAATCGAATAAGACAAATGTTAAAAATCTGACGTCAGCGCTGTTTTTCGTCTAAAAATGGTTGATGGGCAACTTGTTGAGCATAAATGCAAATCAAACTCGCCTAACACTGGAATGAAAAGTCTTTTGGATCTAGAGTACAGACTCTTAAAAAATTTGACAAGAAAAAATACTCATGATTTGATCGGATTTTTGCTTAAATCAAATGGAAATCAGCTTAAAGTAAGAGGTTTGACTCTCGATTCAAGCAAAAATCCGACTGAATCAAGAGGATCTTTTCTCGTCAAAATTTGTAAGAGTCTGGTCTTGATCCAAGAGACTTTTTTTCAACAAATGATAACTGATACATGTTGTGGACTCGTGGCGAGCTTTTTGCTGGACAATTTTTTCAAATTTGATTAGAATTGTTTAACCAATTGTTCACCTTTTTGGTCATCAGTTATCACTAAGCGAATTATTTTAGTGTTGACTTCCGGAGGTAACTTTTACACTATTGAGAGGATAGCAGTTAGGAGTCTCTAAAGAGAATTGTCGAGCAATCGTGACGTCTAGGAGTGATACCACTATTCGACCTTGTGGGAGCTCGGTTTGCCTACACTGCAAACTGAAGGCGAACTGACTGTGAAGTAAAGTCACCGCTTCGCACGCCACGCTCAGGGAATTATAGGTATCACTGCTTCCTTCTTCGGACAATTATGAGCACGAATCTTCAAAGTGTATCATTGATATACAATGGACGCTCAGTTGATCAATATTTTTTTTTCTTTTTGCAGAAAACTCGTTGAATTTTTCTGGATCGGAAGAAGAAGACGACGACGATACAAGTTCCTCAACGGTTGGCGGCATGATGAAACACCACCATTCATTGCACGGCCAGCTGCATCCAGCAACGCCAGAAGCCAACAACAATTCCTTATCAGCCGGTGATCTCCAGGGCCCTTTAGACCACGATACGAAACATGAGGACCTAGAAGATCAAGGTATGTTACTTTAATATATTAAATCGATGTTTTTAAATTCTTTGGGTAATTTTGTTATTGAAATTTTTGTTAAGATACAGGCCTCTTTTACACGAAAAAAATTTCCCTCCCCTTGAATCTTATAACATCTCATTTTATTCAGCATAATTAAATCGAATGTTTCTTCTCTTTTTCATCCAGTTGGCGCTATTATCAAAAGATAGTTTGGTGAAAACACGTGATGATGTATCCCCCCCCCCTCCCCAACTTTTCGCAGAATTTTTACTTTTGTATGGATATCAAATCATATGGATTAATTAAGATGAAGCTAACTGGACAAGAGAGAAAATTGCGTGAGCTAAAATTAATTATGAAATTTAAGGAGAAAAGTCAATTTATTAAAAAAAAAAAAAAAAAAAAAAATGATAAAACGCGACGTGTTTTAGCAAAATTATCAGGTGTTTCGAGCACATGGGTCTCACTCAATTTTGACATACATCCCGCATTTATGAATTAGCTCTAAATTTGACCGCGGAAAAATATTGGACTCTCTCTCCTTTTTTTTCTTTTTTAAAGAGAGTCCTAACTCGGCTTAATTTTCTTAACCAAGAATGTACCAGCCTTTTGAATCTACCAAATATCTTGGTAAATTAGAGTTTTATTCAATACTACTTTTTTGATCCTAGCAGTACTTGCCAGAACCCATACCCTTTGAGCCCCCTCCTGACCCTAGGATTCAGGCATTTAGTAACGTCAACGTCTCCAAACACAAATTCTTTTTCGTTCTTATATCACTTCCGAGTAAAATATTGGGGTTATATAACGGACAATTCAAAGAAATAAGATTATTTTCCCTTAAGAAGTAAAATCAAGCAATCTCTACAAGAGTATTCAACCTGTGTGCGACCCTGCGTGTGCTAGACACACGCGAAGAGGAATCCAATGCAGCTTTGACGCTTCACTCAGGAATTTTAAGTTTGACACCTCCGGGGTTTTATGTCAGGTGGCCCTAGCACGCTCCACGGACACACGACCGTCACGAGAAACCAAATATTCCAGATAACTAGCAAATCCGAGACCCTAGACGCGTCGCCACCAGCATACCTAAAATATCTTGGGCGCATGCGCAATTAACACCGGCTCTTCCTCACTTCCATCCGGCTATCCGCTCGGCCGAGAGACACAACATTCTCAAGTTTGAAATATTATCGACCCGCTCCCTCGGTTAACATTCAACTCCTGGTCTTCGTTAAGAGAGTTGCTCGATTTCTTCGTTGAAGACTTCATCTATGCTACGATGGGGAGTAGTACATATTCTACTTTGAAAGGTGCAAGTGAAAAATGCAAGGTTTCTTATGAAAAAACAGACCACATTTTGCGATTAAGAACTCGTATATATTTGGTTCATTCCAGAAACGACATAAAAGCCATTAGTTTACCCATGAAATTAGGTGTTTTTAAGAATGAGTCAGACATCTTGGTTCTTAAATGAAAAATAATATCCAAATATCGCTTTAGTGCGATAAGAACGATTCAAACAACACGGATTGATAGGGTCTTATGATTATGGCGCTGTAAATGTGGGTTTACTCTGTAGTTCCACGTGGTGAGTGTTTGCTTTCTCACATAAGAACCCAAAAATAATGAGTGGCTTTGTATTTGTATTTTGAACGCATTTAAAAGAAAAGATGCCAGATGCCACCACCTGAGCCACCGTTGCTTATTAAAACAACTCTCTGTCAACACATCCTATTCTTGATAGGAAAGCAGAACTGCAGTTTTAGTGAAAATACTTAATTTCAACAGAGGTATTACTCATTAAAACGTTTCAAAGACAAGCATGTCGGTGCGTAAACTCTTCTTTGGGTCAAATCAAATGAGAATACGAAAAAAAAACTCAGTGCGCCTTCGTATGAATGGGTATGCAATTTGATCGTCTCTGAAGTTAATATAGTTGTATCACACAGTTTTGTCGCAGAGCGCATCGTATATAATGGACCACATTGCATCACGGAGACTGGATACGTTAATAATTTTTCCTCTCTGCCATTTGTTGTTCCTTTTTTAACTATCCCTTTCGTTTTTCGGTGGTTTAAAGTAGATGAATGTGCAACCGAAACGCTGTGGATATTTGATGGTCTCTTTAGAGAACTATTCTCCTAAAAACAAAATAAAGTTAGTTTTTGGACTATCGCGTAGTTTTACTGTGTCGTATGAAAGGAAAGTATCTATAACCGTCAATTTGTGCATGCTGCATTTTGCAAGCGGGAGTAACAAAAAAATGCGTAGGTAAAGGAAATTTGAAACTTTGCTCATGTTCAGATGCTTTTTCCTTCTATACCACTCATTTGTAGTTTGGACAATGCGAGGTCATATTCACATCACAAAATGCAATTTTTCATCGCCTGTCTTTTTTTCACTATCGGCCCGCTAAAAAGGCCACAGCTCTACCTGTAGGCTTTGTCGGCTCTAGATAAAGAACAGTTTGGCGGCTCAGTGTCCGAAAGAAAATCATTTAGCACCTACTTCGTTGTTAGGGTGCACAATTGATGAAAGGTCAGACGATGACCATGCAACTTTTTGGCGAGAAAGTGGTCAAACAGCGAAATGAACATTTAACGTTAGAGTCTTGGTATCCAACCACACGAATGTTTGCACCGTGAACACGATATTACAATATATATTGATAGCTAAAGTGGAAAAAAAATGCGTGTTCTCATCGCGAATTTTAAAAATCTCCGTTTTCAAGAAGATGCATGGCAAAATATGCCCTTAAAATTGTTTGGAAACATCTCAAGTTTCTTTTGAAGCTTACTTGCGTTTAAGCAGGAACGGTTGCATAGTTCATTTGGAATTTCTTTTCGTTCAATAATATAATCGACTTAATGAAGTTTGCCTACAGTTTTCGATGTAAAGCAGGAGTTGATTTTTGGACTTACAGTTGTTTGATTTGCTTTCCTCGTGAAATTTTGAGGGGCAAATTTTTAGCGAATCGCTTTAATTCATACCTTGTCTATAGTGGCCGATTAAGTCCCTCTGACTGTCACCTCCACCTGTAACGTGTTTTTTTAATTAATAGATTTGGAGTGTGTCAAATTGAGATGCACTTTTTAGAGTTCGCACCTTTATGGTTAATACCTTGTTTATTCGCAATGTGTCAAATTGAGATACGATTTTTAGAGTGCATCCATCGATAGGCACAGAAATAGTCCCACGAATGGAGCGATAGCTTTTCCCAATCTGTCGTTCAAATTTTTTACCCGAGCAGTACGCGACTCGCGATTTCATAACGGGAAGGGATGCACGGTGCGAGGTAGCACATCTCCCGAACTGCTGAGGAAAAACACCGTATGAACATTCGAGAGTTGCCAAATTTCCTCCGATAAAATGTTTATTTTTGAGGAAAATTAGGAATATTCCTCCTTGAGATTTTCAGGAACTGTAGATCAAAATACGAACAAAATTCTCTGAAAAATTGGGAGAGAAATACTCACAAATGTGTCTGGAAATCCGTGATTTCCATAAGGCAATTTGGCAACGTCTGAAGGCTCATACGGCGTTTTTCCGTAGCTCATCTCCCGAAGCTGTCTGCTTAGTGACTGTCTAGTGCCTGCACGGCTCCGGTTGGCAATACTCTGCACGTCCCTCAACTGTCGACGACTGTCACTTACGCCGGGCGTTGACAAATGCGAGACTGTCCACGCCGACGCGCTACTCGACGCGACGCGCCACTCCGGCCAACCAATTTCTCTCCCTCTCGACGTGATAATTAAAATTTTAAAAAATCCTCGCTGACAGTTTTCCCTCACTCGCACGAATATGACAGCCCCGACACCGAGTTATGGTTTCCAGTTCATTTGCCGCATGCCGAGCTTCCCGGTTAATGACGTAATTTCGGTTCCTTTCTCGGGAGAGGGGATGCTCAAAGAGCCCTTCTTACGTTTCGAAGGAAATAATAATTTAGAAAAAAATGTATGGCTATACATGTGCTCGATGGCCTAAATTCACAGTATTTTTTTATGATTCTAAGAAAGTAAAGGAAAATAGATTCCACGGAAAAAGGGGTCTCGACTTGGACATTTTCAATAAATTTTGGTAGTGCCCTTTTTATTTTTAGTAGTAACTCAATAAATTTGGTTACTAGCCCTAAAGTTGAGGTGCTACCAAAATTAATTGGAAAGGTCCATCTTATCCAACAAATTGGAGTTGTACCAACATTTTTGTGGATAACCTCTGACATTTTTTCCCGCGGGAAAAGTGAGAAAATGGACCACCTTGTAACGTCATAAGGCAGCATACTTCACTTAAACACTTGCATATTAGCAGATTAGATCATTCTGTCAAAACTCTCTCAGTAACTAACCGAGGATACTCTCGTGCTCAGCTCACCTAGTAGGTTTCAATTATAGACGAATTCATCAAATTTTAGATACCCGACAATTCTCTATTAAATATATCAAAATTTTCTTAGTAACCAACACTAACGACACTTCAAAACGAACACTCAAACACGCGATGCCAACAGGTGTAATGGAAATATTTATACGAGAAAATTTCAAAACAAAAATACCGAACGCGGGAGCAAGTTCCCTCTCTTTTCCTAGCTCGCGGCCCCGAGTCTAAAAGTCGTTCATCATTAAGACGATAAGTTGGAGAAGAAACGGAACGTCTCAACTCTGTCGTGAAACAAAGGATAAAGATTTGTTAATACCTCGGGCACTAATGGTATTTTCTTTAGCCTCCCCTCCGCTCCGATTCGGAGTTTTTCTCGGCTGCGGCTGTCCTAATAATTCATCGTTCGAGGTTTGGATTTGGGACCTAACTCGCTTTTCGGCCGAAGCGTAGTTTGTGCGGCTCGCTTTGGCTCCGGGTCTAGGCAGCGTCATCACTCATGAAATTTGACTAGTGCGCGGTTTCGAGTGCTTCGGGGTATCTCGTTGCCAAATTCCTCACAGAAATTCGGATTTCATTGCGATATAATCGATATTTCTAGGGTGGTTTGCAACAGAGCGCAAAGGGCCTCAGACCAAAACTGTCAGCCGCGAATAATAAACGAAGCCGAGGGTTTGGGCGCGAGAATCGAACTCATTTGAGTCGGCTGATGGAGGAACGTATTATATCCATACTCTGGTGAACCTTAATGGTCGTAAGGATTCTTGCTGGTTAAAGCTACGTGGAAATTAAATACCTTTCGTTTTAAAGTCACTTAACGGGCTACCATTTTGAATCCATTGCATTTGCGTTTCTTACTTCATCTTATCGGTTGAAATATTTGCTCGCCAGCTATTTCATAAACCGATCCATACCTAACATCGATTACTCCTTTATCAAATGATATGAAGATCGTTTCCAAAGTTCTATTTTACATATCAAACATTTTACTTCTGAAGATATCCAATTGAAAAAGTCTTAACCGAACGTAAATTTAATATTTGCAGCATTTGGTCTCGCTGTTGTCCATTGCAGCATTGTAGAAATATCTTTTCTTCAGTCAAAGCTGCAATAATGTGAATTTTTTAAAATGAACCACTAATAGTTTCTTCAGTGAACAGCGGGAATTTTTTGTTATCGTTTTGAAAGCCCTCGCACTTCGAACAGTGAATTATATATTCGATGATTCGTGACCTCTGTGGTTAGAATTTGACGGTAGTTTTAATAGTGCCTCAGCCCTAGGTCTTTATAGGCGCTGTGGCCTCAACAAGGAATAGGGGCTCGCAAAATTGTCAATAATTTCGTTTAATTTGATCATTATTTCAATGCGGTTAGGCGAGGCAAACCGCAATAAGACTATTTGTTGTCAGATCTTCTGAAACATCCACATCGTGTGCTGACCGTAAAAGAAAAATGGAGGATTATTCAATGGCGTGCCCTTGATACGGCCCAACTATCACGGTTGAATTTTTCTCTCTCTTTCTCCTAACATTAAATCTGTCACATGTTAATCGATACGAAAAATCAGCCATGTATCTTCATAATATAATCGAATCCCTCGTTTAACACAAAATCTTACTTCAACCACGTGTTTAAATTCTTATGAGGTAATCAAAATCGTTGATTTTCCGACCATTTTTTCCCGCTCTGAACGCTGAAGTCAACAATAGGCTTTACAAAGTTGTTCCCAATTTTGCAGAGGATCAATTGGACTGCATTTTGCAATTTGGAACTATAAATTCTGGCCCGGTTTAAAAAAAACGCATGTGCCATTAGTATCCCTATGCACATAAGTGTTTTTTTCAGATGAGCCAGAATTTATAGTTCCAAATTGCAAAATGCAGTCCAATTTATTTCAAGTATAATAAATTATTTACTTTATTTATTTTGTTTCAGGGTCGTTAGATGGAGATGCGGAAACGCGAGATAGCCAAACAGAAAACAAGAGCCCCGATGACGGAAATTCGGGGTCGAAACGAAGGGGGCCTAGAACAACGATAAAAGCGAAGCAATTAGATATCCTGAAAACGGCCTTTGCTCAAACACCGAAACCGACCAGACATATCAGGGAACAATTAGCTAAAGAAACTGGCCTTCCTATGAGGGTTATACAGGTAAGATTATACACATTTATCTTTTGAAAAAATGTATTTTACAAAGTTTGTTTCTTGATTCTTTTAAATAATTACACGTCAGAAGCTTTGAAAGTTTTCTATCCGACGATAAGTCGAGATGATGTTGCAATGAGGATAACTTCGGTTAAATTTTTAGCCTCATTTTTAGAAATATCTCTGGAATAAAAAGAATTTAAGGGATGAAAACTGCGCATAGAAACAACTGTGACTAAAATTACCATACTGCGGTGGTATTTCATATGAACGCTCACTTAATAGTAGTCACAACCAATAGTGACGATTTTACCAAAATAGTGGTGAAATTCCCACTTAAAGGTAAAAAATACTTCTATTCACTGAAAAAAGTCTCTTCGATCCAAAGTCCAGACTCTTGAAAGAAAATTTTAAAAAAATGATATTCCTGATTCGATCGGATTTATGCTTGAATCCAAAGAAACCCCGCTTACACTGAGAGGCTTGGCTCTCGATTCAAGCACAAAAATGATCAAATCAAGAGTATTTTTCCTAGTTAACTTTTCTAAGAGCGTGGACTCAGTGTCCGAGGGACTTTTTTTCCAGTGTTACCTATGGTTACTATTAATGAAGAGTTTGTACAGAACCATGTAAATAGCAATTTTAAATACGGTTTTTTACAGTGTAAAGAAATCGCGCAATTTAGCAGAGTGGAAAAACTTTGAGATGAAAGCCTTCCGTATATTTCGACCCAGTCCATTCAGATTCTTTCGAGATTAAGTTATGACGAAAAAATTCCTTCAAACGGTATGGTCACCACTTAACGACTTCATCGATCTCACTCCATCAATCTATACTCCTAATGTCAAATCCTTAAGTTCAGTTAGTATATAGATAAAACTCCCGTGACTCGTTTGTTCAATGGTTTAATTTACCATGAAGTTTTCCCCGCAGTTTTGAGTCCACTCATAAAGTTTTCTTTCTCTGGGTCGGGACCGATAGGAAACGTCGAGGAGAGAGCTCGATTCCCAGATTGATGCTGAACATTGTAGGCAGATTGTGCTGAAAAATCGACACTTTTCCCCATTTGAGCTTATGTAAAATATCCACATCTTATATTATAACTTGGCGACTTTGATGGCGAGTCGGGCGTGGAAGTAGTGTAAATACTCGATCCCGCCTTCAAAAGGGCGTAACTGCAATTTCAAAACGAGCCCTTCCGCTGGTGTATCGCGATGATGTCCAGGGTCCGCGCGAAAATTGGTGAAGGGAGATCGGGGGAGAGGTGGCGGAAGATAGCGAGCGTCGAGCTGGAAGGGCTCGAAGTGTAGACCGAGGAGGAGAATATATATTTCTCATAAAACGGGAATCGTAAAGTAGGATGGATAGAGTTTTATAGTTTCGCCAGGAGAGTTTCCTCCAGATAATGACACTTTTTATTGGCGAATCAATAACTCAAACCTGAACCGTGGCAATTTCGAATAAGTTGCAGCTCAAACATCCACTCGGCACTCGCGTTTCGACGGCGAACGTTGGCGCGAGCGTGCAGGATGTCTGGAAAATGAAGAACGCTGTATGAACATTCGAATGGTGCCAAATATCTTCTGATGCAATATTTATTTTTGGGAAATTTTACACTTATTTTTCCTCGAAATTTTCGGGTACACTAGATTGAAACCCAAATACGAATCGCAGCAAAATTCAATCTGAAAAATTAACACTTTTTTTAGGGAATTCGTATTTCATGAGAAAAAATTTGGCAACAGCTGAATCTTCTTACAGCTTTTTACGTCCCAGGGCAGCATTATGCCATCGTCCGCTCAACCGCGCTAAAAAGTTTCAAATATCAATGGATCTAATAGAACAGAAAAAAGGATGAAGGGTGGAGGGAGAGAGCCCAAGTGCACTTTCCAGAAAACTCACTCTCTTCGATCTCCCGCCGGCCAATAAAATCATTATTACTGCAAGGTCACCAAAAACCAGCATGTATAGAGTGATAACAGAAATCACCTGTGCAGGTTTTTAAGTAGACTGCAAGAAAAGGATAAAATAGGTCATTTTGTCTGCTGACCAGTTTTGCGTTTTGTATATTTTCAACGTTCTAAATGAAAATTATTTTTCGAGTACTTTCAATTTCTCCGATCAAAACTTCAATTATAGTGTATTTTTAGTTTAAGACTTGCAAAAAGAGAAAAAATACACGCTTAAAACCATTATTTAATAGACTACACTTTTCAATGAGACGTTTGATCAACCTTCGCGGTTTATAAGGGAACATCCGGTTCCCCGTCGTCTTTGGTTTTAGTGAGAAAGGACGCATCATACATTACAGCCCATAAAACTTGGACGTTCGCTGCACGCGTTACATTTTGTCAAAGATACAAGTGCAGGAAAGAAAGGGGAACAAAGGGTCTATCGCGATCTTCGCCCAAAATCTCCGCCCTCTCGTAGGTGGTTAATCATAAATGTCCAGAATCAAAGTCATTTGCATATGGTTAATGCGCGAGGGAAAACGAATCTCGAAATAAAATATGACGACGGGAAGGGGGAGGGGGGCGAGTCTGGAGGGGAGGCGAGGGCGGAGGTGGAGGTGGAGGTGGAGAAAATTAACACAGAAAAGGCAGACGGCATGACCCGGCTCGGAAAAAAAATTCGACTTCGGGAAAAATAAAAAGAAGGATCGCGCGGACGACGGTAGAGAGGGAAGAATTATTTTGAATATTGATGGGGGACGGCCGCAATGGGGGCGGGGGCGGGTGGGGGGAGGCTCAAATGAGTTATCGAGGCAAGACTTTGAAGGTGCACAAGGCTCACCTGGAGGACCCGTAATTGTCAGGGCCCGTGGGCGGTTTCGGAGGTAGTTAATAACCTTTTTACAGTAAACCTTTTGTTTCAGGGCACGGGTCGAGGAAGGATTAAAAATTGATGGGTTTCTGAAGCGGCGCGTCATTTGCGAGGCCCGGTGACCTCTCACCCCCGAAAATGACAGAAGGCCGATGCGCCGAGGGCTTGGGGGCGGGTCCGTACCCCCTGCCGTGCGGGCGCGGGCAAAAATAACACACAACCGAACTGCCGTGCTAAGGAAAAACGCCGTATGAACCTTCAGACGTTGCTTAATTTCTTTCGATTAAAACCGAATTTACTGGGAAAAGTTATGAATATTGTTTTCCAAAATTTTCAGAAAATTTTGTACGCAATTTAATCTAAAATATCTGCAAATTTCAAGGGAAAATATGTATACATTTTATTCAAAAGTACGCGTTTTATCAAGGGGAAATTTTGCAACGCCTAAGGGTTCATACGGCGTTTTTCCTTGGCACGGCGGGGCCTATATCCGATTTTATGCATCGGATCTGTTGTTCTTGGGTGCACGAAAGCGTTTTTGTGAAAGGGCGAGCCGCCTCCTCCGCCGGGCTTCCCGATGGCGGATCGTGCCGCGGATGAGGGATGCGAATTGCGAGGGCCCTTTTTCGCTATGGTCCAGCGCTGTGTTCTACCTTTTCTGCGTGTCGGAAAAAGTCATTGGCGTCTGGTCGGCCGGCGTGTTTACAAGACTTGGGCGCTTTCGTGGACATTTATCTTTTTCCCTGCTCGGCTAGTGCGGCCTAGTTGCCTCATAGTGCGACTTTTTTTCTCGTCCATCACGCAAAATAGGAAGTTAACTGAAGATAAAACACTTGAATTTTGTACAGATTTTTGCCGAGGTGATTGGAAACATTCTCCAGCTGCCATTTAAAGCGTGCTTTTGGTATATTACCTAATTTTCTTACTTTGGACGGTAATGTATGGTTCAAAGCTTCCAAAAATACACTTTTTTAAGGAACATAAATTTGAATGCGCCATGCGCCATAGCAAAACGTACTTCATGTCGTTTTATTACATATTTTTAGTTGTATTTGGAAGAAATATAACTTCCTAAAATTTTGTGAAATTTTCCAAATTTTGATATAATTTTTTTTTTAAAAATTCAGACAGAATGACAAATCTTTTCATAATTTTCTTGCCTTGAAATTGACGGAGATTGGTCTAAATCCCTTTAAAAGAATTAAATCGGATTTCACAAATCCGCCGAAAACACTCATCTTGCTATTCTCAGCACAAACGTCAAGAAATTTTTTCGCAAACTTTGGTGTTCCCCTTAATTATAAAAGCTGTTTCTCTTTTCCTCACATTAGAGATAGTCGGTAAAATGACTTTTTTCTGAGCAATAAGTACCTACCGTAAGCTTCTACTAAAAAATACCGACATCATTTTTTTTTTCGGTAAAAATTTCCTAATGATCGGAAAGTCCCGATAATTTTTGCTTTGGTAGATTTCCCGCCAAATCTGACAAGTCGGGACGGCGGGCGTCTAGGTGGACCCGGACTCCCCGGACGGCCGGGCTTGGCGGCAGGGTCGCCACTTGCCTTCTGCCGCTCTCACCAAAAACCACTCATCCACACCTACTTCTTACAGGACATACGCGTTTCTATCTCAGGAGAGGAACCTTGCCGTGCCGCCGAGCATTGTCTTAATACTATCATCGCACACAATGACCCGACCGAAGATCGGATCCCGACGCGATCTCGGATCCCCGATCCCGAGTCCGTCTCCAGTCGGGGACCGGGAAGGCGCAACACCTGTAGTGTACCAAATGGATCAATTTGTCTCGTCCCCTTTTCATCCTGCCGCGCGCTTCGCTTCGAAATTGCGTGTTGCCAATCGCGTTCTTCTTCTCTCACGATTGCCGAGCTCTGTCACGCATTCTCGTCGCCAGCACCCCGTTGGATGGCTCGGGGTTCGTTTCGGGATCAGTCGAAACTGCCTGATAGTTGCTGAAATCTATAGGCAAATCTATAGACAAAGGGATAAACTAATCAATGGACACATCAACAGACAAATCAATAGACAAATCAATAGACAAATCAATAGAGAGATCAATTGACAAACCAATAGACAAATCAATAGACAAATCAATGGACAATCAATAGACGAAGCTTTAAACAAATCTTTGGACAAAGGTATCGGTTGAAACGGTTTGTTGTTAT